GATAAATAGGAGAATTAAAAGTGGCCAGTAGGAATAGCATTGCAGATCATACATGCAGAAACAAACAAATGTGAGTGAAAAACTTGAATTGTTTAAGGATGATAGATATACGACGGCAGAAGTGACATTGGGGCAGCATCAAAATTCGATTCATCCACTGGAAGAGACATCTGGTAGATGTTAAGAAGATGCTCAACAGGTAGAATAAGCTTCCGAGTCTGCAAGGATAACATTATTGTTAATAAAGCAGTTATGCATGTATTTTTGACGAAGTTTATGAAGGCGTGAAATTATAGAAGGAAAGGTTATTCGGTCCTGTAGTTTCTTTGTGGGAACATGAATTTCGGAAAGCTAATCTTAATGTTCCAAAATCATTAGGCAATAATAATAATAATTAAAAGAAACTAATATCCACGCAGTGTAATCATTGGTAACGCATGGGTGTATAAAGGATTTATAAGTTTAAAGTGAGGTGGAGAATTCAATCTCCAGTAATTTCCCAGGAGGCATTGCATGAGGATGATTTTCTTGGCGACTTTCAAAAAGTTGCAGTAAGGCTAGTTTCCAGGGGAAATTCTTACCTAAGGTAATGTCCAGATATTTGACACAATCTGAAAGCTGAATGAGAATATGATCAAGATGGACTTTGAAGAGACGAGGATCACGACAAGGCTCAAATTTTTGACGGCTTGAAACAAGCCATATAGCTTTAGTTTTGGTGCTGTTTAGTGTAGTACTCCAGATTTTAGAACACTGGAGAAAACGATTAACAACCTATTGAAGTATCCTGCTAAGAGTGATCATGGTAGAGCAAGTAGGAAGTAAGGCTATGCAAAAGGTCATTCTCATAATGCAAATCGAACTGTGTATATATATATATATTTATAAATATATATGTGTGTGTGTAGAAGCATGACTTCTTTTTTTTTAATGTAATGTTACGACCATTTCACTTGATTGCTCATTATTATTTTATTATTGTAACAATGATATATACAATATTGTGCCATTTTATTACTAGTAATAAACGACATCACACAAAATATATTTTCTTCTTTGATAGAACATCAACGTTTCACGGTTTGTATTTTAGTGTAACGTTCCTGCATAAGCTGTAAAGCGAAACGTTGAGTGTCCAATTAAAGAAAAAAATAAGAAATTTGATGTCATAAGGTCGCTTATTACTAGTATTAAAATGTATTTTATACTCCAAAATGCATTACAGAAATTAACTAACTAACAATGTGTAATGTTTCCCATTTAACTCTGTTAAGTCTTCTTTTCAGTTACAGCCGAACCTTTCCAATAGCTGTAACCCTTGGTGAAAGCAAAAAATTGAAAAGTTGAAATATACATAAAATGAATGTTTGATTTATTTGAAGAAAAGGGTCGTTTATTTGATAAAACGAATGTTGTACTCTCTCTGTGTGTACAAATAGGAGATTGAATCTTTCACCTTCAAAGGATTATATTTTGTTATAGACATCTGTAATTGAAGACGAAATATTGTTGCCACCTCACAAGTCGTTATCCAAGCATTCATTATTTAGTTGCTATAAGTATCATATAGAACACTGTAGCTTTATTCGAAAATTCTGAAACATTGCTTTATTTTCTTTTTCATCTTAGCTAAGCAAATATTACTGAATTACAAAAAGTAATTGTGACGTCACACAGCAGTATTTCAAGAGCTTTTATCTAACGCATCTGAGCCACTTACATGAAGAAGATCGTAAATTTTCAAAATTTGCAGAAAGAAGTTTAGAAATGTTAACTGATTTTTAACTAGTCACTTTTAAATATAATGTAAAATAGTCAAAGTAACAGATAGATGTTATACTTACAATTGGAATAGAATATTTATTAAAAAAAACAATGAAGTCAGTCATACTTATCAGACATTTGTTTGCAAGATGATTCATAGCTTTTTTAGTTGACCTATAAGAAATAACTGCGTAAAGTTAATGACTTATTGTAATATTGGTAGAAACCCATGTGAAATAAACCTGTTGGTTCTTCTGTATCATGGTTGTATCACAATGATTTAATTCTTTTCTAGCAAAATTTGTTTTCTTGAAAGCAGAAAAGTTTGAAGTGTTTATTTACGTTATGTAAATATAAAATACACGTTTTTGTTTATAATGACTGAAAGCGTATCGAAATGCTTGGAAATTTTATAATAGATAAGGACTTGAGTTATCACCATAATTAAACGTAATAAAAGTTTACCTGGATATCTAAGTGTAATAAACCTATCAGAAGAAAGTTGTTAAAATAGAATTTTAATTTGTTTGTTTTTATTTTTAGTTGCATGCTGTCTCCAGTAAATCCTTATGCTTACTATATCTTCTTCCTGGGCCCAGCTTGCATCATTTTAATCGTAAATCTAATAATCTTCGTAATGGTCACTAGAATTTTACTGCAACCAAGAATGAACACTAGACCTGGAGTTCAAAGTCATGGTAGCTTATATGCTGTCATTGGTGCCCAGGTTCGCGGAGCTTTTACTGTGATGACTCTTCTGGGCGTCACCTGGATTTTTGGAGCTTTAGCAATTGATAAAGTCAGACTAGTGTTCCAGTACATTTTCTGTATTGCGAATTCTCTGCAAGGTTTTCTCATTTTTCTTGTTCGGTGCCTTCAGTTTCCAGAAGCACGAAACGCTTGGATTCAGTTGCTCCAAACGGGTACTTTAAAAAAGTATCGAGGAGTTGTTCCGCCGGGAGGCTCTTGGTATACCACTTCAAATCCTAATCGTAAACAATCTAATGGACATACTACTACCGATCGCATGCTTAGCAGCACCAGTAATGATACCACCAACTCAATGCTTTTCAATAACAGTTGCTGGAATCCGACTCCAAATAAAGGATCTGCGTCTCATAATAGCAAACATACCAACTTATGTCTGTTTTCCAAACACGTAAAACAACCAAAGGATAAAGATCTATTAAAGGAAGAAATAAACGCCGTAGATGATAATCAGTCAGATTCTCCATACAGTGGAAATACCTCTGATAAGATCAATGCTAACTCACTCAGACTTTCCCAAAATAGTGATCAATTTGCTTCAATCTGTTTTATTGATGATGATGAGCCAAATAATAGTGAAGGGGGTGGAATTTCGGGAGATGAGAGCGGCTATCAGTCATCATCTCCAAAATCTAAATATCCGTGGAAATACAGTTCTGCTTTCAAGAAACTCGATGAAATAGTGGACTTAAATTTCGAAGAATCAAAACACATACAAAATCATTTGTCTTCAAAGGACTTCAACAGCAGCCAACTCAGTCATTTTAAAAGTAATGATGAAGAAACACCGCATATTTGTTAAGAGAAATATCGATCTTAAAATGTGTGAATATCGAAAATGTTATAAATTGTTTTCTTGTCGAAAATTCTCGATGAGGATTTATATCTTGGGGTCTTTTTTTTGTGAGCCGAGAAATTTTCTACCTTGTGTACAACACGTGTATCTAGCAGCAACAAAACGTCAATGAAAAAGTAGATAAGTCTGTACGAAAATTACTTTGAAAACAAAACCTGAATTACCTTTAATTGAATACATTTTACAGAAGCATTTAATGTTTCTTGCTATGGAACTAATTACTTAAGAGCGTTATCCTGTTGAGAAAATGCTCAACAGAAATATGCAATAACACCTCTCTCTATTGGTAAAGAGCTGGCCGTCAGATGATGGAACTGATCTTCCTGGAAATACTTCACTTCCTATTTTATTCTGAATGAAATTACCAGAAGTATTTCAATTTTTACATTATCATGAATGAGGTATCTGAAAAAAAAATTCTGTGACAGTGTAAATAGTCTTTCAGGAAAAACTAAATTTGTTAGTCATAATAAATACATTTTTATAAATTTTTCATGCTGCTAATTATCCTTAAAAAATAATTTCCAATATTAATGTACACAGCGTGGTCACAAGTAAATAGACACCACCTTTTCAGAAAAAATTAAAATTTTCAGTCATATTC